CTTCCCTCTACAATGTTTTTTATTGTATTTTTTTTTAGAAAAAATTCAAATTGTACTGGATGAATAGATCCGGTTTGATTAGGTTGTAAAATTTTTTGAATATGTACATCATAAGGCGCAGAGTCTGACGCCTGGTAAAGCAGCCTAGCAGTGCGAGGGTTACTCGTAATGTTTTTAGAGTGAGCGACCTCATTATGATGGATTTCAGTGATTTTATCATCTGACTCAAGCACTTTAGGTATAACATTATCCTTTATATCATTAGGGGAAAGTTGGCAATCTGGTAGATCTGTATGTTTGTGATTCCTTCTCTTTTTTTGGTTTCTAGTTGATATTCTCTTTCTTTTAACGGATTTAATGTTTTCCGAACAGTCTGTATCTATAATGGAACCTTCCGTTTCCATTCCCGAAGCATCTATTGTAACTACATGAGACACCCACAGGGATGTCCCTCCAGGGTCTTCGGGCTCCAACATGGAGGCCAAGAGAAAAATACTATTTACATATAATACAATAAGATGACTTACCAGGCGAAGAAAACAAACTAAAACTATAAATAATCAATACTACTAATATATATATACACTTTACAACTTAACTGATCCTGTAATATTAAATTAATTTAATTTTCAAAAGTTTAGCCAAAAAAAGACGCCCGCTTAATTCAACACTTCCCGCGCTTTCATCGTTAAACTTAGTTATGTCCACATTTCAACATATTATTATAACATTGATATGACTTTGACAAGTTTGACACAATGACATATTTTGGTATGTTACCTCCTTTCACAATAGAACATTGGCTCTGTGGCTTTTGGCCATCAATTTTAGTTGTGGGTATACCAAATCATTTGATTTAAAATAATTGTTTTTAATTTGTTTTTCTTGGAGGTTAGTTTCAAAACATTATATTTTGTATTTTTAGAATTTATTAAGGATTTTAGGTGTTATTTTTATTGTTTTTTTTTTTGTTTTCGTTAGTCTTTGTTTATTATTTTTGGGTATTATTGATTTTTATTACGTACTTAAAGCATTTCATGTACAGTGACACTGATGATAATTTTTTGTCTTGTTCTTCTTCTGTTTCATCTGATAGAAGCTATGCTAGTGCGTTTGATGACGATTCCACTCATCTACGCGATCGACTTGTTTATTCCCTTTCGTTTTCTTCTAAATGTTTCAACGTCGTTCATATCAATGCTCAAAGTGTTCACGCACATTTTCCTGATCTGTTATCTTCCTGACTCAGACCATGTTCACGCTGTGCTTATCTCTGAGACTTTTCTTAAGCCTTAACTCCCATCCTCGCAATACGCACTCCCCGGGTACAAACTTTTGCGGAATTATAGGACGGGTCGCTGATATGGTAATGTTGCAATCTACCTCCGTGCTGATCTGAAACATGCAGTCGTTGATCAGTCACCAAGCGAATACACTCAATCTGCTGAGCACCCTTTTTGTAGAGGTAGCTATCCAGCACACCAAGATACTTCTTGGTGTTTTTTATAGTCCTTCAAGTCACATTGATTTTTTCTCATCTTTTGAAAGTATGTTAGAAAATGTATGTTCTATATATGACCATGTCTTGATCCTTGGAAACTTCAACACTTGCTTGATCAGGGATGACGCACAGTCACCCTCTTCCCTTGGGGGCGACTCATCGTGCTCCTCACTCTACTCCTTCTCTATTAAATCTTATTATTGTCTCTGAAGTCTAAAAATCACACGTGGTGGCCGAAACCTGAGCGTTGGCTGTCCGGAATAGTATTTTTCATTTTATATTAGATTTATTACGTACCTATTTATTTGTGTCTTAATGGTTGTTTTTTTTTAATCCTTAGTTTAACAGTCATACTTTAATACCTTTTATATTGTATTTATTACCTTTTTTTTAATTTATTTTTCAGGTAGAGGGCCGAGCCTCCTACGAGTTACCCCGCGCAAAGGGGCGCGCGGGGTCTGTGAGACTCAACGATCTGCATGGTGTTGTGAGCAAACCGCAGGCCCAAGGATTTTAGGGCCCACCCACTAAACGACTCCCCTGCACTCTTACACCCGACGTCCGATCCCTTCCGAGGTCAGAACCCGGATTAGGTAGGGGGGCTACCGCGGTCAACACTACAACCAGACGGCGCGGCTCACCCCAAGGACGCCCAGCCGACGGAGCCTTCGAGGCGAATCGAAGGCTCTGAAACGTCGGCCGTCTCGGTACGGCAGCCCGTCGGGCCACCCAGACGGTGCTGCTGGTGTCCCGGAATACCCCGATGGACCAGAACCAGCCTGCCGGGTCGGGACGCGATACACCGTCGACCGGTCACTCTATTTACTCCACGGCAGCGCGCTAGAGTTCTGGTAGCGCGCCGCGCGGCCTCACCCCCTCAGGTCGCCCCTTGAAGAATTCGAAGAAATCCTGTCCGAAAGCAAAATATTTTATCTCGGGAGATGAAGATAGCACCTAGAACCATGTCGCGTATTTTAAAAGATGACTTAGGACTTGCAGCCTATAAGAGACGTACTGGTCATTTCTTAACTGATAATTTAAAAGAGAATAGGGTGGTAAAATCGAAACAACTACTGAAGCGGTACGCAAAGGGAGGTCATAGAAAAATTTTGTTTACGGATGAGAAATTTTTTACAATTGAGCAACATTTTAACAAACAAAATGACCGTATTTATGCTCAAAGCTCTAAGGAAGCTTCCCAATTAGTCGACAGAGTGCAACGTGGGCACTATCCGACTTCAGTGATGGTTTGGTGGGGTATTAGCTATGAAGGAGTGACTGAGCCATACTTTTGTGAAAAAGGTATCAAAACATCGGCACAAGTGTATCAAGATACCATTCTTGAGAAGGTAGTGAAGCCCCTTAACAACACCATGTTCAATAATCAAGAATGGTCCTTCCAGCAAGACTCGGCGCCAGGTCATAAAGCTCGGTCTACGCAGTCTTGGTTGGAAACGAACGTTTCGGACTTCATCAGAGCTGAAGACTGGCCGTCGTCTAGTCCCGATCTTAATCCGCTGGATTATGATTTATGGTCAGTTTTAGAGAGTACGGCTTGCTCTAAACGCCATGATAATTTGGAGTCCCTAAAACAATCCGTACGATTGGCAGTGAAAATTTTTCCCATGGAAAGAGTGCGTGCTTCTATTGATAACTGGCCTCAACGTTTAAAGGACTGTATTGCAGCCAATGGAGACCACTTCGAATAAGCTTTTTATACTTTAAATTGTTTTATATTTATGTATTAAACTAACACACTGTAAAAGAAATAAATGTTATTTGTATTAGTTTTTTTTTTGTTTTCCTTTGTAACAGTATTTATGGCCAGACTAAATATACAATACCACTCAAATTATACTTATTATACTAATGGGCAACTTGAATGCCCAAGTAGGATCTAAACAAGACGAGAATGAGTATGTCATAGCTCATTTTATTTATTGGAATTGAAATGGACAAAGCCTGACATACTCTTTCTGATCTGATACTTCTAAACATCATCGATACATCAGGGCGAATATCAACAAAAAATATAGGGCAAATCATCTCACACAAAGAACAATAAAAAAAGAATCAAAGAAAATTCAAAGAATCAAGAAATCGGCAAAATAATAGCTAATAGCTGGAAAAAATGAGTAATTTAACCCACTGAACTAAGCATAGAAATTTAACGGAATATTTTCGAGGCCTGCATTCTCCTCTGCCTTGCCTACGGTTGTGAAACCTGATCCCTCACAAAACTTCACAGGGACATACACTACCAGAGAGGTATGGAGAGGAGCATGACTGGCATTAGAAGACAGGACAGAAAAATGATCATCTTTATAAGATCAAAAACTGGAGTAACAGACGTGCTTACGAAGATAGATCAACTAAAGTGGAGATCACCGAACAGTACCCTAAAGATGGTAAAAGATAGAGGACGACAAAGAACGAGATGGGAGGATGAGATGAAGTTGGCAACCTGTTCTGACTGAAGGACGGTTTCTAAAGGTTTCCTTACTATGTATGCTTATGTATGTTTTTTTTATAGTCAGGTTCATCTTTTAATTAAAAAAATCTGTTTTTCTTATTGTTTATACCACGTTATAAGTCGGTGCACACGTATCTAACCATAAATCCCACAATAAACCAAAAGGGAACGGAGATGAATGAAAATCAGTGGTGTTCGATTTATCCACTTTGAACAGCATTAGCTGAATCACTTCCTTTTTTCCCTTTTTTTTACATTTAATTAACTTATTACAATTATTATTATTAATTGGTATGGTAATAATAAATGATATATATGTTTATTATTTATGTATTATATATTATAATTTACTCTTAAATCCGTGTGAAAGGTAATAGATGATTTTATCTTTACTTATTTTTTAAAGATAGACAATACACTGAACTGAGAGACATTCTATAAAATATACAATAATTATATCGACTGTCCTAAAAGTTCAGAATAAAGGATTACTGATTGATTGAAATAAATAAGTTCCTCGTATCAACGGGTGGACCGTCAGCTTCTTTTTTTTTTGTTGCTTAGATGGTTGGACGAGCTCACAGCCCACCTGGTGTTAAGTGGTCACTGAAGCCCATAGACATCTACAACGTAAATGCGCCACCCATTTTGAGATATAGTTCTAAGGTCTTAGTATAGTTACAACGGCTGCCCCACCCTTCAAACCGAAACGCATTGCTGCTTCACGGTAGAAATAGGCGGGGTGGTGGTACCTACCCGTGCGGACCCATAAGAGGTCCTACCACCAGTCCTTTGACCAATTTACGGAAAAAAAATCATAATACACAAGAGCCACCTATTTCCGACTATTATCTGAAGCGGAATGCAATTGTTCTTTAATGTAATAGCCCTTGACTCTGTAGATCAAGTTAACATTAACTTGTCTCAGCCTGAAAATTAATTAAAACATAGTTAAATGTCTTCATTATTTTTATTTAGAAATTCCTAACATTAATTTCTTAAGATAGATCAAATAAAACGGACGGATTTTTAGTATTGCAAAATGTATTGCTTAGCAACAAAAAAAAAAACTGAAGGCACATAATGTGAGTAAATAGTTTAAATACATTTTATATGGTAGGTACACAAATATTTACAAAAATATAACAGCTTCTATTAAGATTTTTGTCGGAATGTAATAATAAAATAACAAAACTTACACCTATAGGTTTTAGAGGTTTTATATAAAAAAAAACTGATAATGTATCTATGTTCAGCAAAAGTCCAGTTATACAATAAAAGAACCGTCGAAAATGAATTATTTTTCAGTATTATTTTTTTCGCTGATGTTTCATGCATCCATATAATATATAAAATCGTGTATACAATACAAATGACTTAAACAGTTAAATGTATTGTTAAGAACTTCCCTCACGTTTTGGGAACCTTTTCACATCATCAAACAAAAACTTCCATTAAAATCGAAAATGAGCTTATTTCTGAATAATCAAAATTGAATAACAATGATACATCCTAAAAGATCACAATAGATACAAAGTCAAGAACTTATTTCTAAATTTCTTCTCCAAAGTTAAATTAAGACCAGACAGTGGACGGATAAAAATAATATTCATAACGTATTTGCTAACGTAAATTTAACACCTCATTATTATTATAAAATAAATTAAATTTGTAAGGCACATAATATTTTAGTTTAGAATATACAAAGGCTTTTTGGACCAAGAAGGGACATATTCATCAAGAGAATAAAAATTAAGTCTTTTCTATTAAAAACCCCATAAAATATTAAATTTAAAATAAAATAAAAAATGTTATTTTTAAATTCAACACGTGTCCTGAAATGTAAATTCAATAAAAAAGCATTTTTTCCTTCACCCTTTTGTATGCAATATAAAGTCTTATACCACCTCTTCGATTTTATATAATATTTATAGAATATTTTTTTTATTATGCTTACGAATTTTTAACTAACTTTTCAACTTTAACAACTCATATTGTAATGTTCGTCATTTAACTGGATTTGCGAAAATTTATTTCTGTATATAGCATTTCAAACCTTAAAAAATATTTAATTATAATCTGTATTTTTATTGATATTTCATAACAGTATCAAATTTTCAAATTACAAACAAAAACATTTCCTTAACGTTATAAAATTACAATTAACACCTGGTGGGCTGTCAAACAATTCCTTATTTACAAAATTAAAAACAGGCATAACAAAAACAGAAGCATTACCAAGGTTTATACTCGTATAATGACTATATAACAATACACTTTTAATAAAAATATGACAGCAAAATTTTATAGACCAAGAATATTATATTTAGATGAGAAGTGATTAAGCTAGACCTGTTTACCTGTCATTTCTTTTTATTAGTCTTTCAACATATTTTTCTTATTTACTTCTGGCAAATGGTAACCAAAACATAATTAAGTTTTTAAAAAAATATCCCGATGAGATTATTTATCAGAACAAAAGTATTGACAGACGGACGGCTGCGTGAATCGCTAACATCTGGTGTGCCGAGAGAAAAATAAAATAGTCCTTTGTATCTAATCATTTATGTTACATTTCATCATAAATTTATGTAAAAAACATAAAAATATAATATAGTAATAAAAAATGTGTACAAAAAAAGGTTTTTTTTTTAAATGTAGAATGTATACAATCTCTTTTTTTGAAAATAAGAACTTATTTATTATCGAAACATAGCATAAGGTAAATCTCCACATAAATGTTGCAACTAAGTAAATTGAAATCCTCAAATTTTAGTTTCTTAAATAATGTAGACATGTATAGAATAATAGCTATATAATGTAATAAACCTGGTAAAAAGGAGAATCGCGTTAACCACATTATTAAGCTTCTATATATAAGATTAAAATTGATTTATAAAAACACATACATTAATATCTAGTTCTTTTTTACCTGTACAGTTAAATTGGACAAATTCATGTTATTGCTACTATTTTCATGTACATGTTTTATTTATTGTATTTAAATAAGTAAATGTGCATAAATAACTCAAGACAGTGGTTCACTTAATTAAAGTCAAAGTATTTGGTAACGAATATAGTAGGAAATGGTTATCGAGTTCTCCGGCCGATAGTGTCACCTGATCGTTACGATATAGTTTTATTTCACGTCTAGTCCTATGATAATGCACATAGGATTTTATCTCGCTTTCCCATTACTTCAGCTATAACACAGCGCAGAGCTGGCTAAGTGTATATGCACAGTCAATAATCAATGATATATACATATGTTCCCTTATTAGAGACCTTTTAAAAAGCTGAGGGAGGAGCTCTCAGCACGGTCGTTGTTAAGTGGTCACGCGAGCCCATAGATTGAATCGTCTTGTGTCCGTCATTGCAATAGAAACGGATGACTTCTGTGAGGTACAAGAAGCAGGTTGTCACACCTACCCAGGCAGACTCACCTGCGACCTACCAATAGCTTCCTTTACGATTAATGTCACGACTTTGAAGTAATCATTCGACTATTGTATTTTAAAATAGTATATACTAGCATACGCGCCATGTATTTTTTGTTGTTGTTTATTTTATAAAAATATTAATTATAATAATTTTATTTTATAAAGAAAAATGTTATTATTAGAATATCATTTGGAAAACCCAATTGATATTCAAATTATAAGGTTTTTTTTTACGTATTACTTTTTATTATAAATTCTTGGTAAGTAACAAACTGTTTTGCCATCATCTTGCATGCATGGGTTTCCAACAAGACACAGTACATAATTACATTAAGAAGCAGTTTCCACAACACTTAGTGTTCGTTAAGTTGGTCCTAAACAGATATACATTTAGATATAAAAAAAAAACAAAACGAACTTTGTTCTATAAAAAAATAAATTTAAAAATGTATAAAATATATTAATGAAATGAAACATTTTTTTTAATTCGAGGAAAATGTAAATTTCTCGTTTAGTAAAAAATGTATATTTTTACATATATATATTAATGTTAGGAATGCAAAATTCCACAAATTTGACGTATTCAGTACGTAATTCAAATATAGTAATTTTCATTTCTGAATGTTTTTTTTTGTTACCAATTCTTATTTCACTATATTGTTAAAAATAATTCAACAATACTTTTAATTTTTCTATTGTGACTTAGATTCGAGCAACAGATATTATTGATTTTGAAATTTATTCAAATCACACGGTTTTAAACTATTTGCAGATCCCGTCGAACGAATACGAAAATTAAGCAAAACCTTTCTATTCGATTTTAAATCTTATAAACTATACAGAAAGATCTAATTCGCAAACTTACAATGAAACTCTATAATAATAGTATTTAAATCTATAAAAGCGTGTATGTATACACAATAAATATATTCATAAAATCAATAATTGCACTAATAAATTTTTTGTTTTCATTAAAACTATTCCGCGTTGAGAGATCATTCGTATTTGTTTACGATGAAAATCTTTTTCAATATTGCAGTTATTATTTCTACAGACTATCCAAGTCTTATATGTTACTAAATCAAACTAATCACTAATTGTTAAGTGTAAATTTGTATACATTGACCGTTCAAAAGTGCAACAACCATGTTAAACTATATATTTTTTGTGCTATATCCGAAATACGTTTTTTTTTTAAATTGAAACTATTAAAAAAATCGATTAATCGAATCGCGAATACAAACTGCCTATTTTGAGATAGGTAAAGATTTATACCCGTTTTTTTATTGCCCTTGTAGGCAGACGAGCATACGGCCCACCTGATGGTGATTGGTTACCGTCGCCCATGGACTTCAGCAAAGTCAGGGGCAGAACCAAACCGCTGCCTACCGTAGAAATGTCTTCATGTTTGCGATGCCTGCCTATACGTTGCTATGGTGATTGTTAGCCGGTTGCTAGATTAGCAGCGTATAACAACAGGTAAAAGAAAAACCGTGTATTTAGTTCACACGCGGCAAAAGTGAAAGCTTCAGAAATATTCTGTCTCATTCACTCACACGTGTTTACTGTCGTAGACTTTTGTCTCTTTCTAGTGTCGCTTTTTCGTTTCGAATGAGAACGGCGCTCAAGAAATTTGCATTTTAATAATAATATAGAAGAGGAAACATTTAAAATAGTTCAGTCGATAATATCAGAGCGGTCCAAGATTCATACCTCGGTGCTGTGAGTCTGGATGCGCACTTTCTTCTGGCTTCCGTTCCTGTTTAAGGGCGGCGAATGTCCCGAGTACCCTGGGTTCTGTATACCCAGGCCGCCCGGTTCCCCTTCTCTTGGTCGCGGCTTCTTCAGCGAGGACCGCAGCGGCGACCTGGTGATGGTGCTGGCATCCGACAGCCCCGTAAGCGTTGTGGCGGTTGTATTCATGGAGGCGACGCTGCCGTGGCCGTTGGTGCTGTACGGCTTACCGGAAGCGTCCGTCATCGATATCCCTATAATACATAAGTTATCATCACTGCCTCAGAAAGCATGGAAGGTAGAGGGTTTCTTTTTTTTCCTACCGATGCTGATAGCCTTGAGAGGCTGTTTCAGCTTCGCCCTAACGTGTGTAGGTGAGTTCACGGGGCTCAAACCGGAGTGTTGCTAACACTGACACTAACGTAAGAGCAGTGCGTCGCAGAATCTACCACCGGATCGGAAACGCGACCCAAAGGAGCACGCACCATTATGTATAGGGGAAAAGTTGAAAAATTGTCTACCTTTAAACAGAACATTGTAGTTGGGAGACTCCGAAAGTGCGCTAATTTAGGACATGATATGATATATAGCAATTTTAAAAAGAGTTTTAAAAAAAAATTCAACTTGTTACTATGGCGCCACCTTAATTGGCTCCCTTTCGTTTTTTTTAAAACTAACATCTCTTTTAAATGTGGCACGAACGAAAAAATAAACAAGGATATTTTCTATTTCTTTCATATTTTCCCAATATGTAGGTTAAATGATATACGTGGCGTATTTTTTGTTCTATTAGTTTTATTTATTTATTGCACTTCATTTACAATATTGAGTTAAATTACTGTACAGTAACCGCATGTAGTTCATTTTTTATCGACTACTATATAGATGTCTCAATTGCATTGTATAGCGGGTGTCCCACGCTTCAAAGTGGAACGCGCTACTGCTTCGTGGCTAAAATAAACAGGAAAGTTATATCTACCCGTGCGGGCTCACAATACGCCATCCTACCATTATTAGTAGTATTACTATCGCACGAGAATGCACATGTGATTTTTCAACAAATAGATTTCTTATAGCATTTCACCGGTCACCGTTTTCGCCAAACCCGTCGCTTGCGACGAAGGGCTCGATCAGTAAATTAACCCATAGACACAGCCCACTATGTTTCTCGCCTGATCTTCTCAGTGGGTCGCGTTTCCGATACGGTAGTAGATTTTGCGAAGCACTGCTCTTGGTAGAGCTAGTGTTAGCAATACCTCCGGTTTGAGCCCCGTGAGCTCACCTACTCGCCCGGTTACGCTGACATAGCCTCTCAAGGCTATCAGCTTAGGTATAAAAAAAACCATGCATTTCACTCACAGCAATGGTATTAAATAAAAAGATCACATGAAATGTTTAAACAGAAAACAATTACCTCTTCCATCTTTGAAGCCGGGGTTGTTGATGGTCGTACTGTCAGGTTCGCCCAGGGGATTCGTGGGATCTCCTCCAACTCTTCTTGAGAACAGGGTGTCGTACAACGACATTATGAACAGCACTGAATTAATTACTATGCATACTATCTGCAATGAGAAAGAGATACTTAAAGTAAAGAGGATCAATTATCATCTACGTAACTAGACGCAGCGAACTATCTAAAGCACAAATGCCAATAACAGTAGTCCCACTCTTTCAGATCGTCTTTGATCAGACATTATGAACTTTGACGTCATTATTCAATATTCACTCTCTAACATGACGCACCGCTTAAATGTTTCTTTTAAATTCGAATAAATTTAGCTGAGCTTGTCATCGGCCTTTCGTGAGACAAGTAAAATCAGTTAACACGCGGATTTTCTGGTCCAAGATCATATTATCGCACGAGAACGGAATTCGAACGGATTTCATCATGCAATACTATTATTGAAATCAATACGGTCAGTTCGATACAGTTTTAAAAATATTGTTTAAAGTGAATGGTTTTGTAATTTGATTCAACAATATCACAATTGGATAATGCTTTGAGCCTTATCTGTGTTTGAACCGGAGCGAGCGAGTGCATCAAGACAGAAATAGGGAGGATAATAGGTGGACCATCTTCCAGTGTGGACACGCCTTTCTACCTCTATTCCGAATTTTATTATTATTATTATAAGTGTATTAAACATTGCCTCGCCTGGGAAGACGGCAGGACACACTCCAGCGAGGTGGGCAACATTATTATTATTATTATAGCGTCAACGCAATGAGGACTATCTTTGAAATCAGAAAAAAAATTTGTTAGGTGTTTTTAGAGGAATCTTCAAATATCACGTTTAAGAGATTGCAAACATTACCAATAAATATTACGTAATTATGTCTTGCCGCTCTGAATCCGAACAAATTCGCCTAAACAGTTGCGGATGACAAATGAAATGCTTCCATTCAATCCACACTTACGCGAGTTTCTATAATGGCTCTATTATTTCCTACTGTCTCTGCGTTCCGAAGTTTTGAATGAAACAATTACCTGGACGTAAAACGCCTCTCCTCTCTTCAAATAGAAACCCCTGTCATCGCCTTGGACGGCGAACAGACCGGCTGCCGCTATTGACAGTAATGCTGAAATTTCGCGAATTATTAATTAAATCAGGCCAAACTTGATGCCGGCTAATTAAGTTTTAAATAACTTTGTTTATTGGGTAAAATGGCGATCTCACGGCTCCCGTTGTGTTAAGTGATTACCGGATAGATATTGCCGGCTAATTAAGTTTTAAATAGCTCTGTTTATTGGGTAAAATGGCGATCTTCTGGCTCCTCTTGTGTTAAGTGGTTACCGGATATCCATTTGAATGCCGACACCCACTTAGAGACACCAGGTTGAAGCATCAATTGTATTATATAACGATCCACTCAACCCTTCAATTCGAATCGCTTATCGCTTATCTGGTTTGCGGATGAAATAGGCGAGATGGAGATACCAACCCTTGTAGGCATACAATACTACTTAAAACCAGTAAATGCCAGTTGTATGCGAATTCCAATCTGAGTATGTTGATATAATATCAATTGATCAGACAATGTAACCGATTGCCCATTTTACGGCAAATTCTTTAGTCAGTTCTTACGACACTTCTTTCTTCTTACGCCGAGAAAGGAAAAAAACCGTTTATTGGTTTGATTGAATTGGTGAAATACCTTTACCTTTCATGCATAAAATATTGCCTATTTAATAACTGAATCTTACGAAGAAATCGACTGCAAGGCAATATGCATTTTGAGATTGTGTTACTACTACATCAGCGTGCAATAATAGTTTAATCTAGAAAATTACTTCCAATCTCGCACTTTCAACCTAGCGGGACTTAATTCGACCTGGATATTGATATAGTTCCTAGAGTTCTTGAAATTGTACAACAACTGGCTGCATTTATATTCAGTTTGAATTAGTATTTAACTCCTAATGAACTATCGTCGACTCGTTATGTTGAAGATTTTAATAAATAAGTCTTCGTGGCCTAAAGGACAAGACGTCCGGTGCATTTGTATGTAGCGATGCACGTGAGTCCGCACGGGTAGGTACCACCACCATACGTATTTCTACCGTAAGCAGTAATGCGTTTCGGTTTGAAGGGCGGGGCAGCCGCTGTACTGTAAAAAGTGAGACCTTCCACCCCACCCATCCAAGCAACAAAAAAAAAGAAAAAAAAATGCTAGCCGTGGGCCATATTTTCATTATCATTCATTACCAACCACGCCATTAATAATGTAAGTAGACATTCGGAAAAAACTGAAACATCTGTGGCATGAGCCACATATGATATCACCGGGCTTACATGTGCGATCGCAGTAGATGGGTGAATGGGCCCACCTGGTGTTAAGTGGTTAGATAGATTTCATAAAGTGAATGCCGCCATCCAACTCGAGACATGAATTAGCAAGATGATTGTAATCATCCGTGCACATCGTTATGCGTAAATATACAACAAGATGTATTCATTTTACCGATAAATACGCATGTTTATAAATTTTGCGGGTTGGCTTTTCTGCTACACGTTGTTATTTCTCCATCGCGGAAGTTTTGCTGTTTGTACTCGTATCGAGCGATTGCGGCCGAGTAAAAATTTTTCTAAGCCGCCATAGTTGCATAAGCTCTAAGGTCTCACTACAGTTACAACGGCTGCCCCACCCTTCAAACCGAAACGCATTACTGCTTCACGGCAGAAATAGACAGGGTAGGACGTACCACTTTTCACGTAAACAACTGGGCAACTTGTCTTTAATCTACGACTGCTTATAGATGAATAGGACGCACTTACTTGCCAACAGAGCTAAAGAAAGCTTCATCATAACCAGGTGGGTGTACTTCATGGCGACACGTTCTTTTGACGAGATCATCGCTAGCTGAAGCACTGACAGTATGCAGAAGATCCCCAGGATCGTCACGCCTACTACTGCGACCACTCCCGAAATGTAAACGGCAGCTGTGAAAGGAAAAAAAAATCAATCTACATATTTAATTTTGATTAAGATTAAAGTATTATATTTTTACGGTTTAACCTCGCGTTTATTATATACAAATTTTCGAATACTTTAATTTATCTAGTAGTAGGACGTCTTGTGAACCCGCCCGGGTATGTAAAACTACCCTGCCTGTTCCTACCGTGAAGCAGTAATGCGTTTTGGTTTAAAGGGTGGGGCAGTCGTCGTATTGCATAAACCTTTCCGCAGACCGGAGACTTATGTCTCATTTACGTCGTTGATGTCTATGGGTTCGGATAACAATTTAACACCAGATTGGCTGTGAGCTCGTCCACCCATCTAAGTAAAAAGCATCTAAGAAAATTTGAATACAATATTAAAATGTCGAACGATCCGAGAAAAGCGTAAAAAATAGATCCTTAATCAAAGTATCTTTCGATGTTGATATTACAGAGCTACAATAAAACGGTGCTTAAATATGATGTTTCCCTTCATATACAACAGACCATGTATAAGTGAAATATAACTCATGAATTTAATTATTACTCCTGTTATTTACACTAAATAATAGGATCTCACCATCAGCTCAGAATAACGCCGTAACCTTCACACACAAAAACCGATAGAGTTGTTTCGTGTCAGTCCTATATGTAGGGCTTGTGCAAACAGACTGACCACAACAATATCCCGTACTAAATAGAACAGACAACTGACTGACATTAAGGCCACAAGTGACTTGAGTCACGCGAATACGCAACTTTCCTATTATTACTCATTTTTATTTTGCGAACTTTGTATACACCGTTGCTGTGGACGTTTTATGCGAACAGCTGACATTACCGATGAGAGTTTAACATCACCGAGCATCAATGGTCAAAAGGGCTTAGTCGACAAAACACATAGAACCGCGCCGAAGTGATGTAAAGTATTGTTTCATTCGAATTATCACAGGATTTGGGGACTGTTTTTAATTCCTTCATTTCAATGGATCTAATATAGATATTTTAAAATGGTTTTATTGACATATCACGAGAGCTTTACTTTATTATGTAGTCATCATAAAAATGTGTCCATAAAACTAAATATCCGCACATTTATTAGTTACTTACTATTACTAGTCATAAAGTTTGTATTCCAATATTTGTATTTAGTTCACATTAACAGAGTTTTTGAGTATTTAATAACGGAGCGAGTGTCAAGGTTTTTGTATCATGCTACTGGACACTTTTCCAACTAAAAGCCTTTCTTGTCAACTAATGTTGTTTTATTTCGCTAATGGATATCATATTTAATTCGTGTCACACTAATAAAATTCTTGTTAACTGGATTAATATTTTTCTGTACATTAGCAATGTATGTTATGGTGACTTCATTTCTTGTTAATGAATGTAATGTTTTCGACTACGGGTTTATGCTTGTTGAGGATAATGACCATAGGCTAAGGTTAATAGTGCAGTATCTGGATGTTTGAGAAAAGCGCTCTAAAACAAATTACAGAAATCTGGAAATGAAAATATATATGTTGTATATGAGTGTTCTGGTGAATATAGCAACGACATGAATTACAAAATACATTTAAACATTTTAAACCACTCCTGTTTAATGTGTTTTATTTACGATTGTAGGTTGAATATAAGAAAAATTAAATATAAATTAATAGAAATATAATTTCTAATGGAAACCAGATCAGATAACGTTGTACTACAAAATCGTCACACTTGATTGAGTCGAAGCGGTAAATACGGCTTACGTCACTATCTATGAAGTAATGTGAACTGAATATTTTAACACCTCGGTGTTGGGTACTCGCGTTACAATTTCAGAGTAACAGAATTTAATGATAAGGCGCGGTTAGTAATTATCGAATGGTATATGACACTTTAAGTTTATTGTGGCATTCTTATGAAAAATAGTATATTACACTCATTGGGAAGGAAAATAAGAAAAGGCTTAGCCTCGGCCAAAAATTATATGTGATCTGAGGTTTACTTTTTTACTTTCCAAGGGCTGTATACTATTTTTTTATCCGACAAAGGTGCAAAGCGGCAACTTTGTTTAGCGCAGCGGGACGAAAGTTGCCACTTTCCGTCCGGAAGGGAAAAAACAAACTTATCTTCAACACTAAACTAATATAAATTTTAGAATTCTTTGAGACAAATATGTGAACATGGGTAGCTTTCATTATGATGAGAACTATACTTGGCTACATTGTTAAAGTTTCGTTACAAACAATATTTACAATTTGAAAGTAGTGTGAACTTTTTTGAGAGTTGTAGAAATAAAGACAAAGTATTTAATTTAAAGTATTGTCGTTAAACTTCAAGTTATTATCAAAGATTTATTAACGATATTAAATATAATCGAAATGATTTACTTAGATATGGTTTTTCAGAGGTTGTAATGAATGCTAGTTATGATGATATAACCGACCATGACGATGCAAAAAAATAACCACAATTACGAGACAATGGGATGACATTGAGAATGCAACCAACGGTGGAATATAATTATGTTAACACGCAATTACTGTGGCTAAACTGTTGGAGCAATCTTACAAAGATTCCAGATAATTCGACTTGTTGCTTCTGAAATTATTATGTTAAAAGATCCTTAGTTGGTTATTTATAATCGTTATGTAGTTGCTTAGATGGGTGGACGAGCTCACAGCCCACCTGTTGTTAAGTTGTTATTGGAGCCCATAGACATCCACAACGTAAATGCGCCACCCACCTTGAGATACAAGTTCTAAGGTCTCAAGTATAGTTACAACGGCTGCCCCACCCTTCAAACCGAAACGCATTACTGCTTCACGGCAGAAATAGGCAGGGTGGTGGTACCCACCCGCGCAGACTCACAAGAGGTCCTGCCACCAGTAATTACGCAAATTATAATTTTGCGGGTTTCATTTTTATTACACGATGTTATTCCTTCACCGTGGAAGTCAATCGTGAACATTTGTTGAGTACGTATTTCATTAGAAAAATTGGTACCCGCCTGCGGGATTCGAACACCGGTGCATCGCTTCAACACGAATGCACCGGACGTCTTATCNATTTTTATTACACGATGTTATTCCTTCACCGTGGAAGTCAATCGTGAACATTTGTTGAGTACGTATTTCATTAGAAAAATTGGTACCCGCCTGCGGGATTCGAACACCGGTGCATCGCTTCAACACGAATGCACCGGACGTCTTATCCGTTAGGCCACGACGACTACTACTGGCTTGTTGATACAATACCAATATTTGCAAGTTATGCCTCCCCGAATGTGTACCAGAATCCTTCTGATGTCTGTAGTGAAGAAAATCTACGCTTCAATGAGGTAGGACAACTAATGACGAATGCAATGAAGACTAATCGTGATTTAAGTTGGGCAGCGGTATTCATGTCGTTGTCTGAGTTTCAATAATCGCTTCATATTAGATGGTCCGTTTTTAGCTAATAATAAATTGTAAGCAATGTGTTATAGGCCTTAAGTAATTTGAAAAAAAAAGTGTTTGCCGTTTAAATTTTGTAATCGTTAACAATATAAACTTAATATAGACAGATGGTCTAGTGCCTTTCAGATCAGATCATTGAAATTTGTTACAATCGTACAGGGACTTTATTAATAAAACCCGTTAAAACTAAATAAATTGGTAGTAAATGTTTATTGAGTATCTTCAAGACACGTTCCGTTGGATACAAGACGAAGCGTAAAATGTGTTCGTAAAAATCTGACGTCAGTTCTAGAAGTGTGCAACCTCCGCCTTCATCGGACCGGTTTGTGTCTACAACATTTACATACCAAATAACGCAGGTCAAAAGTTTGAAACGAGCTTTATATTCACAAAGCGATTTCAAGAAGCTCTTTCAAACATGGTATGTCTGTGTTTTAATCTAAATAAGCCATGAATTTTGTCGTCAGACGACTATTTATTTATACAATATAAAATTTAACGACCCAATAGATATTTGAGTCACAAAAACTATCAGTTGAATTATTAAATTACCCTTAATTCGTGTTCAATCCAATTCATGTTTAAATTCGTTTGATTCAGTACTGTGTGTAAATGTAGAATAAAAAAAGCGACAACACAATTGTAAAAAGACTTTATAAACACTAATGTTCACACGTATTCGTCACTTTTGTCGGAAAGTGAAATTCAATTCAAATTAGTACGGTTTTTGTCTTTTCGCTCTGGAGACCACGGAAGGTTTTTTTATTTTATTGTTATTGCTTAGATGGATGGACGAGCTCACAGCCCACCTGATGTTAAGTGGTTACTGGAGCCCATAGACATCTACAACGTAAATGCGCCACCCACCTCGAGATATAAGTTCTAAGGTCTCAGTATAGTTACAACGACTACCCCACCCTTCGAACCGAAACGCATTACTGCTTCACGGCGGAAATGGGCGGGGTGGTGGTACCTACCCGTGCGGACTCCCAAGAGGTCCTACCACCAGGTCACTACTGTTTCAATAATACAAAAACACAAGTCAATCGCCGTGGGTTATAAATTAAGCAAAAACGGGGAAGCGTTTTAATAATTTTGAAAGCGGTTTTAATACTTTTGAATTTAACGTTTCTCGTACGACAAGACAGGTTAAGCGACATATTTGCACGTCTCAAAATGCATCAAGTGAGTCATGATATCTAATAAAATATGCGGCATTATGCGGTTGTATTCTTTCAATGCAATGCCGTGACCAATTCAGGTGAACAGTAAAGTAATTGTTACAATAGAGGTATGTCATTTTCTGTTGTGGAATAATGGTTTTTTATTGTGTTGTACGACTGATTGTGAATATAAAAATGTTTCATTTAATATTGTGGTTCTGATGATTATTCTAATCCTATATACCATACTGATCTACTACTTACCATACAGTGGAGTGAGTTTACATAGATTTTGTTATTTGTGCTAACATTCAGTTTTAGTTTAACTTGTTTACATGGACTTCTTCTTTTTTTTTATTGCGTGGACGGATATTCATACTCAGCAGTGGGATGAAAGGTAGGTAGCTTATAATCTCTTCGAGGGCTCATATTATTTACATACTGAACTTCGTCAAAATTGGTACAGTGGTTTAGGTGTGTGCAATTCATAGAGAGCTACTTTTGTAGCTATTAATAATATTACGAATATATTAGGTATGTATGTAGGTACTCGTATATATTTAACTATTTAATGTACAGTGAATTATGTTTCCGAGAAATATTAAAATGACATGTTTTATTTTATTGAATTCGCTGGTTCGGTCTAGTTTAGGGGTAGGATAGCCGTAATGCAAATGAGCTTTTAAAACTCATGTTTCAAGCTGTGATGTCTAAAATTCAACATGTAATGATTGTAATAGTCATTTGTCACTAATTCCCCCAAATCGAGTGAAATCAAAAATATCTCTTATTCTAAAATCGAATATTGCGGTCATCTTGGACGTTGGTGGACTGGACTAATAACAACATATTTATCGGATGCTTTTACAATACTGTAATAGAGAGTAGTTGCCTTGGAAACATCATAAATAAATTTATTAGCTTAACCAATTCAATTCGACGATCACGAATCCATCGTGATGGGCCCTCGTCTAATTTTATTCTATGCCGAATCCTAATAGACGCTGTAACGGATGAAAAATAGATGTATGGCGATTTCGACATACCAAGAAACGTAAAATTTAATCATATTTATCTGCCGAGTTCTGAGCAAACAAAATCTACTCGTACTGTACAGACAGTACTCACCAAGAACTCTAATAATTTTGTTTTGTACACATTATATTATATTTAATTTAAACAATAATAATTATAATAAACAGATGACGTGGATTACTTTTTAGCACGCCTTTATTATTCTCGTTTTTTAATGAATTAGTTACAAATATATCGGAACTATACATATAACATATACTGGTGGTAGAGCGTCGTATGAGTCCGCACGGGTAGATACCACCACCCTGTCTATTTTTGCCGTGAAGCTGTAATGCATTTCGGTCTGAAGGGCGGGACAGCCGTTATAGTGTAAAAACTGAGACATGAGAACTCATGTTTCAAGATGGGCGGCGGCATTTAGGTTGTAAATGTCTTATGGGCTTTGGTAACCAGTTAACACCAGGTGGGCTGTGAGTTTGTCCACCCATCGACGCAATAAAAAAAATATAAAAAAAATGAAATCAAACGATACAGCCTACCCAAGATCTAACAGGCCAGAAAACCTTACAAGACATGATAAGCGTTCGGCTATTGCCCAGAAGACACTCCTCGAGTTTTTATTGCTTCTAATATTCTGTTCTTTGCGTTACTAACTCCCTCAAACTTTTTAACTTTACTAGGAATTTATATTTTAAGTACAGATGGTTACGCAGTGAGTCCTAGCACTGGTGCCACCTTTCTACCTATTCATACTGCAATAATTTTCCGGTTTTGAGACTAGTCCAATAGTAAATTGAAACTTCGATATCATGTTTCAAGATGCTCGGCGCATTCAGGTCGTTCTTTCTATGTGCTCTGGGAACCATTCAACAAAAAATCTAGACGAGATTAGACGACAAGACCGAGGCTAGGTATTCGCATCTTGCACACAATTATTGTACGCGTCTGATTAAATCTACACAGGAACATGACTAAGCGCTAGTAATAATGTCCTAAGCGATGTCCTCTCGACAGCTATGTCATGGTTACGAGGAAAATTCAAAGGCAGCAAGTACGTGGAATCCCATGTGTGAAAACATTATTCATTAAATTTGACGATTTTACCCGTTCCAATTGGCGCTACGCAGAAAACATTGTTCGCTAACGACTTAGACGAATGCAGCATTGTATATGGATTGAATTTAGCGATATTGTACGGAGAATGGCTTACTGATTGTTTGTGTCCTTAGTACTTTCAAAATCAACACCAGGTGGATCTTAAACTAAGCCTTGTTTGAATTTATTGTACGTGTCGAACTTAAAAATCTCTTTCATTTACTAAACAAAGGAAATAATGTATTTACGAATACGTACCCGATTACGAGCGTACGGGGTTTTGTCATTGACGTATTTAAATTTAAATAGTATGTAAAACTGAATATGTAGTAATATTTAAGTGCTTTATTTTCCTTTACCAAGTTTTTTTTTATTGCCGTATAGGCAGACGAGCATACGGCCCACCTGATGGTGAGTGGTTACCGTCGCTCATGGACGTCAGCAATGCCAGGGGCAGAGCCAAGCCGCTCCCTACCGTAAAACCGTTTTCACGAGGTTGAAGTGAGTGTATTTATATATAACGGCTGTGCTTTGAGCACATCGCAAAACTGCTTCACTACAGAAATTGTCAGGATGGTGGTAAAGTCTGTGCAGATTTGTAAACCAACAGTAAATGCCGATTAGTGGTCGCAGAACGCTGTTATAATATATTTTTTTTCCTACCTAAGCTTACCCTTGAGAGGCTATATAAGCGTCGCCTTAACTAGTAGATGAGCTCACGGGGCTCAAACCTGATGACGGTGCTAACACGAACCCTAGCAAGACTCGTGGATCGGAAACGCGACCCACTGAGAAGATCCGGCGAGAAACTCAGTGGGCTGTGTCTGAGGATTAATTTACTCGTCGAGCCCTTTGTCGCAAGCGACGGGTTCGACGAGAACGACGACCGGTGCTTCAGGTACCTAAAAGCACCGTTAGTGGATCGGGAGAATCCGAAATGACGTGTTTGGGGCGACGTCGACTGCTTTCCATTCTTTACAATTAATACTCAGAGACAGCTCTTTTCATTCTATGGTGAAGACCTTAGTTGCCTTTTAGCCACCCACGGGAGAAGATAGGGTGGTGATATTTTAAGTGCACATCACATAGCCGAACATTTTTAGATATATTTAGAGCTTCAAGGCTTTTAACAAACTGTTATGGGCGTCATGTTTCGTCGTGAATCCTAATCGACCATTGCATTGAACACCTGTGCAACCCAATTCAGCCACATCGAACAAGTTAGTATGCACATCTGCTCCATCGCCTATTTGTGACGAATTGGACATGGAAGATTTCACGTACATCAAACATAAGATTTATGAATTTGTTTCCGTGTAACGATCGACGATTTGTTTATGAAGTTTAAGCAATTTTACGTTGGTACTGTTTGATTCTAAAATTGATCATTGTAATTTAACTTGTGTTTTATGAGGTCTTCGATACTACAAACTTTCTCAAAGCCGTATTGTTAATTCATACACACAATTATCGATTTTTCGAATACATACTCGCGACCGAAGGCGATTGTAGTGTAACATTGTTTTTTTTTATAAAGTCAATACATTTATGTGCCAAGTATTGGAATAATAGATAAATAAAAATCAATAACTGGAAACAAATCAGGCACGATCATCCGGTCCCAATTCAGGATTCCCTGTGTTATGAGTACCATAGACAATAGGTACTCAGACAAAGCGGAAACAAACCTGTTCATCACACAATGTTGGCACTATATCGGAATCAAAGGCACGACCATCGGCGCAACAGTCAGGGATGTTAACTATCGCATCACCGAGTCAGTCAGTCAGTGAAATCAAACGTTAGATTATATTTATTAAATCCTAGATGACCCGGCAAACTTCGTAGTGCCTCAATCGATAAATAAAAGACCTAAGCTTTTGTTTAAAATAAACTTAAAACAAACTAAAGGAATCCGTCCGACGGGGGACATCAACACATCAAAGGAAAAACAAAATTGTTATTTTTATTTAATTCCGAGTATTTTCATATTTATCTACTTTTTAAACCTTCTCTGAACTTCAGCAAATAATTCAAGACCAAAATTAGTCAAATCGGTCCAGCCGTTCTCGAGTTTTAGCGAGACTAACGAATAGCAATTCATTTTTATATATATAGACTAGAACGAGATACATTACTAGTTTTCTATAACAAATGAAGGATGTAATAAAGCAGTTATGCATAAGAAATAACATTGTTTTCGCATTACGTGGCTGATACGAGGAGGCACACACGGGCTTGGCGTCTTACACAACGCACATGCTTGAAAAAGGTGTTACAAATATTGGCGTTTGTCATGTACGGGCGTTGTTACTTTGAGATCGGTTTTTTTTTTGTTGTTTAGAATGACTGTCAACGAACTGGTACGTGCGACAGAATACGAAACGAGACATTCGAAAACACTTCATTGTTGTGACCACTTTCAAAATGCTTAAGAGAAAATATTTGCACGCCTTAATGATAATCAGATTAGTTGCAAATTGTCACCGAACAAAAGCGAATCGTTTTTGCCAAGGAAATGAGTTTCTATTTTGTATGAACGGAATATGTTTCTGTTCTTAAATTCTATTACTCATATATTTTTTTAAATCGCATGTACGTAACGTGAATCGATGCGTGTTCACACATACTTTCCATTAATCTTTCGTTAGCAATGGTTTACATATTCAATGTCATAACAGAGAGCTACGTTTAAAAGCGTCTGTTCCTCTGCCTAAAGTAAAATATTTATTTTAATTTTATAAAATATGTTATGCTAGGATTTCATTTTTAATTAGGAAAACTGATAACAAGTGACTGCCGGCGCCGATGCTTACAAGTAGCGAATGAATGTGTTTAATATTTTTAATTACTATTACAATACAATGTTGTTGAACGGAATAACTAGCAGCTCGTGTTTTAAGCACGTTTATGTCGGTATCATTGTCTTGCTTATCTCTGCTCAGAATATTCTTAAGTTCCCGCTTAAAGGTCTACAGAACTCAAACATTTTATTTATTTAAGTATTTAATTTTTTTGATACGCCATTTAATTGTGCTCTATAAGATCCAGTAGGATGTGTGTTCGTCAACCCGTGTATATACCTCTACAAAAAAAAATAGCTGCACTTGATTTCTAAGTCAGTGTCAGAGCCCATAGACATCGCCACATGCCACTCACCATATTGAAAGTTAAATATAAGTCCCAAATGTTATGTAGGTATCACGATTGTTCTGTTCTTCAAACTCGAAAGGATTTTTGATTTGATTGGTTTGCGGCCGAAATAGGCAAGATCGTAGTAGTATCATTCCGTGTGAGTTCTCAGTGTAGTATATAAGTAGTCGAGTACAGGAAAATTCCGCTACTTTATACGTAATTGCATTCCAAATAAACAGTTAAGACGGCACTAAAACTAATTACTCAACACATTAGTTGACGATTACGACCAATGAACTGAGAAAACTTGACCCCTAAATGTAATCTATGCGAAGTCTAGCTGGATAGAAATATAGAAAGGCTTATTGGACTCAACTGTGACCAAATAATTTTTTTTAAATATTACTGTTAAGAAAGTACCTGCCATTTTTCACAAGGTAGCTTTTAAGTTTAGGTAAATAAAAAACGTTTTTTTTTTATGTTGTCTCAGCATTTTATGTTGTCTCAACTATATAAACATTGCCGACAAATAGGAAGTCTTTATCAAAGTTAGCATAGATAGGACTTTGATTTAAAACATGCTCTGACCGTAAACAATTTAAATACGTGAGTCATAAGCATAGTCTTAGTATAAAATAAGACATTTTTAATTTTTTGTAATAATGACATTTTTATGATAATATAACTCGGCGTGCATTGACATTTTGGACAGGATTGTCGACAAGCTGGAAGAGTGAAACCTGCTGGGTAAATGCAGATGGAGTGTACGATGCTGGACTCAAACACAACGATCAACCCACCACTAAGCCACCCAATGCTGAGTGTGGGTTTCTTTCGTGTTTCCTCATTTCTTACGGTTTTAAACAACGCGCATCCAGACCTTCCGCGCGGTTCTGACTAAATAATCAGTCCATTTCTATTATTGCCTACGTATGTTTCTGCATCTACGATTTATTGACAATTCAGTCTATTCTGCGATATTTATCATCATCTCTCCGACCTGCCAATTGCCCCTTTAAGCATAATCCAATAAACTAGCAGTATAACACAGATAAACTCTATGTTTTGTACTCATGGCGAAGGAAGGCGTGTAGGCACATTAGTTAGATGGAAGGTGCATTGTTAAGTTGCCTACTACCTAACTGGACTACTAAGGACTCAGTCCATTACGTTATCTGACTGAGTAAACACACTAGTTACTCAGTTATTATGAAATTCAATATTAAGCTCACTATTGGCCTATCGTCAGTATACATTTTTAAAGTGCTCAGAAAAAAATCTTGTGTTTTATTGTCATTGACATATCGTCGCTGTCAAACCAAAATCTGTTATATGCAAGAACTCTATTTTAAATTAACGATTAAAAACATTTTCGTATAAAATTTTATATGAAGGTGAATTTTTAAGAACTATATGAAATGAAAGCTATAGATAAATATTAAAGCTATAGACACATAATAGTTTTTTTTATACGGTAGATAGGGCTGTGAACTATACGAAAATGTCAAAAAGTAAAAATCGCAAAAAGTGCACATAGCAGATTTTGGTTTGACTACGACGATATTCGAAGCAATATAATAACAATAAAAGCGCGATAGTAAAACATAAAATTAGTTTTACAAATACTGTTTATATTTAAATTTACATGTATTCCATAATCAGATACTTTCCCTCTACGGGTATTCAATTTAAGCAAACGAGATTATCGTGACGAACATATTACGCACATAATATTTTGAACGTCAAATTCTCTAACCGCTAATGAACGTACGAGGACAGGCTAATATTGTTCGCGAGCTGTTGAATAATGTGTGCCTACGTGTTTACTTACACGATTAATTATTGAATTACCAGTATAGCTTACGTAAGTACCATACATGTTAATTAATAACAAATTTGCCTGAAATTAGTTAATTAGTTGAAAACATCACCGATGCTGAGAAGGTTAGTAGAAATGAGCCGATTCCGTCGCCTTCATCTGTTCTCAAGAGAAAACAGTTATTTTATTCCTGCACTTTATTAATATGCTTTTATTAACTGCACACGTATGTATGTATGTTTGTAACGGAATCTTTGAACATGCTTTTGACCTCCTTCAAAACGTCAGATTATCTCGAAATTTGGCATACTTATTAAGGACCGATAACAATTCAATAATTAAAAAAAAATGAAAAAAAAAATTCACTTAAAAATAGTTTAAAAAAACAAAAAATATATTTTCTATTTTTAGTTGGATTTTCTATAAAAGCGTTTTTGTTTTTGTTTTTTTAAACTTTTTTTTTTTTCAATTAAATGAAACTGGTGTTAAGCGAATTTGTTGTATGCCGTTCAACATTATCAATGTCCAGTCAGCGAATAGTTAATTGAGGAGTACGTAATATGTACAATTTTAACTAGTCCAAATTCGAATTCTGTTTTTGACTTTGCGAGATATAACGACGAGTTGCTTTCGTTCTAGTCGATGTACTAAACAATAAAATAGTGAAAGCTTTGGTCGAAAACGTATTGTAAATAAAACCTACTTACTGAAATAGAATGAAGGGCACACAGTCTTGGCAAAGAAACGAGACTATTAGACGCTTCAATTGTGATATTAATTGATCGTATCAAACATCGCAGACAAAATACTGTACAGACGTAGATCTGTTTTGTTAAAAGCGTCTTTTTCAAATTGTATTGTAATAGTTTTTGTTTAAATCATATCTGTTAATGATATAATTGAGATACCTAAAAATTTAGGACGATTTTGTAAAAGACCTTTTACACTTTATCGACCGTCAAACAGCAATTTAATGATCTGGTGGTAGGACCTCTTGTGAGTCCGCACGTGTATGTACCACCACCTCGCCTATTTCTGCCGTTTACGTTGTAGATGTCTATGGGCTCCAGTAACCACTTAACACCAGGTGGGCTGTGAGCTCGTCCACCCAACTAAGCAATAAAAAAAATCTAAGTTTTTGGACCGAGAATATTTGAACATTTGTACAAGCATATTGAGCTCCCGACTCGGGTTTTATAACGCAACCTTTAAGCCGAAACGTGTGATTCTGATGTGGAAATAGACAGGACCGTAGTAGCAACCCGTGTAAACGCACAATACGGTGTATCACTAGTATAACAACAAGTATGGACCTCGGAACGTAATTAAAATCCAATTTCGTTGAAAGACAGTTGTCTAAATAATAGCGTAATGTAAATTCAAGTTTAACTATATGAATCTTAACGCGGTCGTTTCCAACTTTGTTAAATTTGTTTTTTTCTATCAACTTCACTTCGGATACCCCTCCCTTATGGCGAAGTATTGAATTACCAGGAAATTTGATGTGTAAGGCTGCAGTGTTCGGTGGTTTTTATGAATAATAATTTTACGGGGCATTGAAACATAATACACGTGATTATGAACGAGGCTTAATCTTGCAATTATTTTAATTCCCTATATTCTTAAACAACGGTTTCAATGTAAAATAATTTCGAGCCCTAGTAATTATAATAATTAGAATGTGTAGGTATTTATGTATAGGTAATTTCTAGTTGATACCGTTATATATTCATTCTTATAGCACTTTAATAATTATTCTCCCTTCTTTTGAATCTCTTGCAGTACTTCATTTTTCATTCAATCGTACGCTACTCCTAGCTCTATACAAAACATATAGTGAAACTCGTAAAGTTTAAAGTTTATGTTAATGTTACTTAAAGTAGATTAACGGTTTTTAAACATAAGTGTTTTTTATTATGCGTACGAATTGCAAAAATATTTTATTTATGCCTTAAGTAGCTGATTTTGCGTAAAAGGTCGATAACTGTTGATCTATTTAATGAAATAATTTTACGAAAATGCGAAATAACTATCGTGATCGAATATCCTAGTACAGGAAGTTTCTGGAAAGCATTTTTCAACGTTTAATAATAATCGTGATAGGTTCTGAAGAAGGATTTTCTAAAACATAATAAACGCAGAATTAGTTTTATATTTATGGAAAAATTACTAGGCTCTGTTGTTCGTCGTTCCACGAAACAAAGCCACCAGAAAATAGGTCAAAGTGGGGAGCTCACTGTGGGAAATTAATAGCCTTGAAACATGTCAGAGAAACACGATGAAGCAAACAAGTTCCTAATAGACAGCGAAATGTAGTACTGAATTTCATTCAAAAGCCCTCTTTTTCTTCCACAATATTCGAAACAAAAAAATAAGCAGTTCTTATTAACTTTCACACAAAGAATAAAACGACATTCACAAATGCATTTCGGATCACTATCGTGACGTTACGATTTCTTTTGACTTCGTAATCTTCTTTAGCTAAATCGTGACTTTCGAACGATCGGCCCGTAAATAAATGCCAAGTACTCACTTGACGGTCGGAACTTCGAAACGTCCGTCCCACATTTCTCCCTGTTGTAGAGCAACTTCTTGCAAACACGCCATGGTCCGAAGTAGCCTTGGTCGAAGTTTGGATTCTCCACTGTGGACAAAAGAAAAATCTATACTAATATATAAATCTACAGTGGTTTTTACGGATGTTCTGTTATAACTACTGAACCATGCATCCGATTGACTTGAAACTTAGTATCCATGTAGAAAATACATGTACTTACTTAATGGATATTTATATAAGAGTTGGACTTCCTACACCAGTTGCGGGGGCGTTAATGATGAGTCTTTGAGGGGGTGAGAAATAATAGTGTTAATTTTAAATGCCCAGCGAAGCAGTCGGGTACAGCTAGTCTTATATATGGCTGTTGGTGATTGTGTTCGGTCCACTAGTAAAACTGCAAGGCTTCATTATACATATGCCATATAAGTTAAGGCACTAAATGCAATTTCTTGAAAACACAATTACGGGACGCCATTAAAGCTTTTATGCCATAAAATATAACAAATGAAATAAGGAAGTTCCAAATATACCCCCCTCCTCCAATTCTCTGTTTTATATTACAAAATTTTAATAATTAATTCATGGAAAAGGGATATTGCGTGTTAGTTTTAGGGATTATGGTGTTGATATTTTCTTAAAAGATACTGTGATTGGCTTGATTAAATTCGATTTAATCTAGCGTTTGCTAAAACTAACGTTTACAGTTTTTAAAGTTTTTGTGATAATGGATGTCTGAGACGAGATTAAATTGTAAAACGTAGTTTTAATCGCGAATCATTATCAATTACGTCTCATTATAAATACTTGGTTTATCTTTAGCTTTGATCATGTGATATGTATTAATTATCGATGGCTGATTTAAATAGTTTTGCATTAGAAATAACAAACGTTAGACATGTATTGTCACTAAACACCACCACCATCACACCACAAACACCATAGCATTAAGGACAAATAGAGAAACTATCGCATTTATTATAGGTTTTTTTTTTTATCTGTGTAATTTAATAATTGCATTATACCTTCAAATTTAATTGAATAATTACAAATATTTCCATGAAGACGTTGATGAATACGTTTATTGTCACGCTTGAAAATTTCAAGTTTTGTCGCCGCGGCCTCTTTAGTACACAATTGTACGTAATGAATAGTGTACGGTTAGCAGACGAAAGATGTTATAAAACGAATAGATATATTATTTATTATTGATAATAAAAAAAAATCGATACTTCAAGAATTATTATTCATATTTTTTAAGTTATGTTGAAGTTTTGAAAAGTTTTGTTGACTTCAGAAAGTATATAGTCTTTTACGGTTGAATCCGCATCATGTCATGTCATTTTTATTCATTTTCAATTAGCGAAATAAATTATACGAAAAATGATAATTGGTATTTTTAGTTCTAACGAGTGCCACTCTGCACTGTGACTCACTGAAATTAAATTCACTTAATGAAAATGAAAGTTACGCGTAAACTATTTAGAACTACTGCCCCATCCTAAAAACTGTTAGAGTAAACCTATATTTTCTTATTTTATATTATATATTTCTATATTTTTAAAGGTATTATTCTATTTAATAAATGATATGTGAACTGAAAAGTGTGTGTGTCAATTATTACATAATGATTCTATAATGCATTTTAGATTCCTAAACAGTAGAAGTTAAGAACATTATTCGATGCAGCTACAGTATGTTTATACCTATATAATATAGTATAATAGAAAGATGACACAAGATTTTTAATGCGCGATCTCGTAAACGGGGCTTATTGCCTCAGCGGAGACCGGACCTTGAATTGATAGACAGGGTTGAAACGCGAACTAGCTTTATAACCACAACCCAAGGATTCACATCAAACGATTTACTTCAAACTCTAATAGGAACAAACACATTACAAACAGTAACTTTAAATTAGAATAAAAGATAAATGACAGATATATGTACTTTCTAAAATACCGTCGTGAACCTTGCTAAACGACACACATGATTTGCAAAGGTTTTTAACGTGTTGTGAAGGTCGGCGACATTCTAAGAGGAGGAACATACAAAGCAACCACGATTTCCTTCATGAGTACTAATTGAATTCGTACCGTGTTTCAAATTGCGTATTGTTGTTTGTGAAACTTACGAACTTATATTTTATTTTACTTGTCAGTATTTGGTGGGTTAGGCCACTGACTTTTACTTGACGGTCACTGGCATCGGTCAACCTTACGATGCTCGGCAGAGACGAAACGGGCGCCTCCGACCTCTGGAGGATACATCCGTTCCCTCGGTGAAGGTTACGGGGAAACTGAAGAAGTGAAAGCCGCACGACGCGCAACCAGCAGCAGTTCTACTGTTGTGAAAGTGTGACCAGGTCGGCGATGTATGGAGTTCCTGCCCGGCAGACTGATATGGTTCACTGGGGTATTTTGGTATTTCGGGCGGCACCCCCTGGGTCGGCTTGACAGACTGCGGTACCGTAATAGTCGACGCAGAGATATCGACTATGGCCTGGACGCTCTGTCGGTCGAGCGTCGTTGGAGAGAGCTGCGTGTCTGGTTGTAGTGTTAGCGCGGATAACCCCCTACCTTGGCCGCTTTCTGTACCGGTCGGTGTTTGGGCGTTGGGCGAGAGTGCACGGAAGTCATGTAGTGGGTGAGTCGTCTATTTAAACTGCCCCCTACATTCATTTTTATGCGAATCAATTGAGACCTTTGATGTTCAATATTTATATTTTTTGGTCTAGTAAATGAAAGCTTAATTTTTTGCTGACCGTTTTATCAAAACATTCGAGTGATGTCAAAGATAGTCAGCATTACAATCAAGATTTCCAAGATATAGGGGAAAGATAAGGCACAACCATACTGCGTAGTTCTGTCTTGAAGCAGTTTAATGTTTCGCTTTGAAGGGTAAGGCTGTGGAATTTACACTTATACCTCCAGTCCGAATGAATGGGCTCCGCTAACAACTTAACACCAAGTTGGTCCCGAGGTCGTTTCCACTAATGCAATAAATAAGTTGGAGCTAGCTCTTGAAGTTACAACAGTAGTACGCTTTTTTAAATGTTCAAAATAAAAACTTCTATTAAATTTAAACTCAGATATATTGGTCTTTTTATGAAAAACTTTACCGAATCGAACAATTGTCGAGTATTAATTGACGTAAGCGGAAATTTCTTGAGGGCGTAATTACGTGATTTAACGGAAGGTCACGATGTAATAGCTCGTGAAACGGCATATGCACATCATTAGCGATGTAATGACTCAGATGGCACGTGTCAATTGAGTTTAACATGACCGACATTCATACACACAACTGTCGACTCGTGTATGTTACGATTGAAACTACTTCGCAGATCCTTACAGATATGACTAAGGTCCGTCGAATTTTGTTAAAGAGCAGCACAAAGCATTCCTGATTTCAATTGATATCGTGCCCTTATGACAGTTCGCATATGCTATAAAGTATCCCATAGACGCAATCGACTGAGTTTCTCATCGGATCTTCTCAGTGGGTCACTATTCTGATCCGATGGTAGATTTTGCGAACCACTGCTCTTGCTAGGGCTACTGTTAGCTAATTCTCACAGACTCTACCCATTCGTGAGAAGTTTGAATTAGCCCCTTAGGCTACCAGCAAATAATTAGGTAAGAGAAAAATATATAGTATGGGAAACTATCATGTCACTGCTATGTAGGGCCATGAGCTAAGCGAATTGTTTTAATTTTCCGTAGCTAAGATGAGCATTTTCAAGAATACAAAGACGAGATGAAAGATTTGATATGATGATCAAGAGATTATTTGCTGTATTTGAATAAACACGCTCCCGTCCAATTTAGTTATTGATTGGTTTGCTAGATGTCACAATTGTTGTACTGTATAATTGATTGAAATACATTGCGGGATGACTCGAGAAAATTGATACCTGCTTTCCGGGTTTGAATCTCGGTCTGTTAACATCACACACGAATGCACTGGCCGTCTCATTCAGTGAGCCATGGATATATTAAAGGGAGCCGTTTCCAAAGCCTAAATAAACCAGTTGCCTGTCTAGGGAATGACAAAACCAGTTCAGTAACTAGTATACCAGTTTTTTTTCCGATTTTATTGACGAACTTCCGTTTTATCGATTATCATTCATAATTTCTAAGATAAAAATAAGGATATAAATTAACGACGTTGCCTAATCATAAAAGAAACATCTAAGTAATTTTTTATTCAAAATCCAACGTACCAATTCAAGAAACACCTGTTTAATTACTTCAAATATGTTATGAACGAATTACTCATGCAAGATGCTAGTAGCTACACGATTTTAAAATACACACCAGAGTTTTCAACGAAACTGAAATTGTTTGCGTAATTGAAGACACCGAGTTAGATTGTCGAATGTATATTTTTTAAAGCATTCGTGACGCGTTCGTAGCCGGTGCAGCGAGCATAACGTAACTGTTTGAGAAACGGCACACAACAATAAGCTATAAAATGACGCGATAAAAACGATTGTTACAGTGGTCCTGGTTTAACCGATAGCCTAGATTTTAAAGAACGATTCTGGAATTAATGTTTAAAAGGGAAAATACCGGAAAATATTACATGTTGTTTAAAATATCAACATTCACAAATTCGTTTTGTCTTAAAGTCTAATTAATTTTATAACGGTAATTTGTCTCTGTAAATTAACTTAAGTCGGTGGCTAATTATTTTCGTGTATTATGATGACCCGGTGTTAAGTGGTCACTGCGGCCATAGATCAAAGCGTAAATTTGACGGCACCGCATCTGTTAACAATATCTGTGCTAATATTATAAAGCAGAAGAGTTTGTTTTTTTAAACGCGATAATCTCCGGAACTATGTACATATATCCTATGAGGTGGGCCGTATGCTCGTCTACCTACAAGGGCAATTAAAAATAGTAATAAATACTATCAATAATAATCAGAACGAACTTATTCCAAGCCGTGAGCACTAGTTATCAATTTAAATAAAAAATCCTGGTTATCCACACACATTTAAAAAATACACCTAATCGGGAAAGTCCTACTTTTAAAAACACGAAATAAAGTAGCTTCTAGAACTAGCTATTGACGAGAATTAACACTACATTTAGCATCGGTGTCATGAACGCGTTACAATAAATCTTTAAACAAAAAACCGTTGGTATACATTTTGTGGATGTACATCGTTCGAGTTCCGAGATCATTGTCTGTTAGTCAAAAAAGCTACGCCATGTTCACCATCGATGGGAGATACGGGCCGGCAGACCTCAACAACAGTTAATCTATTGTGACTCGTACGATTTTAATATTGCGAACACAAAATTTAGAAGCAGTCGGCATCGAATTGATTGACGTTTAAACTTCGTGCCATTTAAATGTAAATTACTGGTGGTAGGACCCCTTGTGAGTCCGCGCAGGTGGGTACCACCACCCTGCCTATTTCAGCGGTGGAGCAGTAATGCATTTCGGTTTGAAGGGTGGGGCAGCCGTTGTAACTATACTTGAGACTTAGAACTTATATCTCAAGATGGGTGGCGCATTTACGTTGTGGATGTCTATGGGCTCTAGTAACCACTTAACACCAGGTGGGCTGTGAGCTCGTCCACTTATCTAAGCAATAAAAAGTAATAATTAAATTATTGCATATTTCTGGTATTACCTACGAGCTGTAGCTAATGACAGTTTTACGGCGTGATCTCGTTAATTAGGAAGGAACATAAGAACAACTACTATTAGTCAACTGTTTTTAGAGATCATTATTTTTATTAAAACATTGACAAATTCATTTTATCTCCAATCTTCCGTGACCGTTACTACTGTAAAGTATTCGAAGCGTCGCATTACAAAATGAAAAAAAAAACAAGAGACACGAGAATGAATTGTAAAATTGCCAGTAGTTTTAGAATATTTATTTCTAGATTTTATTTGAGTTTATAAAAAACCTGTTGATGTTAATAAAGATATATGTATTTACAGGTTTGTTACTGAGACACGAAGTTTTTTTGACTTCTCATTATAATACGTACCGTTATTACTGTGGGCGTAAATTATATTATTATTTCAAGTATAGGCTTATCTTTTGTTCTTGTAAAGTCTTAATGTAAAAGTATTTTTGACATAAGTTTTTATTGGCTAAGGTTGACAGACGAACGCACATCCTGGTGTGTATAAAATTGTATACTGGTCATCTACCTTCAGGCCACCAACTTTAAAGATGAATCTACAATGATTTTTTTATTACGGAAATTCGTTAATTACTGAAGTGCATTGATAAAACTGCTGTCCTATTGTTAATGCTAGAATCGATTATAAGTTCCTTGGTGGTGCTCGATGGTTTGAGTTTAAAATGACTGTTTGGAGGATAAGGAGGATCAAGAATTAGGAATTTAGTTGAGAAAACAAATGATATTGCGACTTTGGACGAATGATGAGCTATGGTAGCAGTGGTTCGAAAAAGCCAAGGTCCTACTCTCATTAAAGTCGGTCAGATTCACCATTACGATTATGTTGTTGAATTTAAAAAAAAAAACACATAATCGAAAGAAAAAAAAACGTACAAATTCAACATTTTTAAATAAAAATAGACTATAACGTGATGCAAATTCCAAGAAAATAGATAACTGACCGATCCGGTAAAGTACAGTCGTGCAGCATGAAAAGTAATTTAGCAACGAAGTAAAAAAGTAATGTTTTTGACGAGGTTAAACGCACGATGTGTCTCGAATGAACTTAAAAACTCCATAAGCGCGCTCTCCGGCACATCCACAACTTTTGTGACAAAGGTCTGTGAGGTCAACGACCTGTTTGGCGGGCGTGCTACATTTTTTAACATAGGTAGTATGCGCAGCGGACAGGTATCGGGCAAACGTAAACATTACGCATTCAGCCATTACATAATATATTTAATAGTATACGAGTTATAGCAATAAGCAATTAAAATGCAATCTGACCTTAATAATTGCTGTTAGTTAAGTCTGTCAGGATTCTCTGTATATTAATCACGTTTAATGGCGTCTATTAGATTTTTTTTTTGCAGTGCTTAAATTCCAATACCATTACAGGGCGTATATTAATTTATTTCAACACTTGCGACATTATAATGTCAATTATACTTATATTACCTTAATAATTTTTAGCACGATGGCACTACCTTTTCGAATGGTTTGTTTTCGGGAAACAATGCTTCTTATAAAATTATAGAACGGAGGCACGCATTTTAAATTAGGGTAGTGTTACTATGCTATTGATACTATACTACTAATGCGGACGGAAAGTAGAGATGGTGATAGTAATTGGAAAAGGCTAGAATCATATATTACTGGTGGTAGGACCTGTTGTGAGTCCGCGCGGATGGGTACCACCACCCTGCCTATTTCTGCCGTGAAGCAGTAATGCGTTTCGGTTTGAAGGGTGGGGCAGCCGTTGTAACTATACTTGAGACCTCCTTGAGAACCTTGAGGCTCCAGTAACCACTTAACACCAGGTGGGCTGTGAGCTCGTCCACCCATGTAAGCAATAAAAAAAAAACATTACTCTTTTTTATTTATTTATTGCTTGTTGCTTACTGACTTCTAGGATTAATAGCATTAGTGATTATTTTTAGGTTCTCTTAGGAACTAGTTTAAGCTCTTTTTACTTATCAGTCTTGTTATTAGTGTTGAAGATGCTAAATTTAACCAGATATACTATTTGATAAATTATTACCATGTTCTAAATAAAAGGCAATTCTTTTTAATTTGAATGTCAATTTTTGTAATTATTAAAGTTGAAGTAAACAGTCTTAATTTTCGGTGACACGCCCAAACGAAATTAAATATTAAATGAAATATAGAGCAGTAACAACTGCAAATTCTTTATTGTTGTTGATATATTGGTTAATTATGCAGTACATAGTTTTGATGCTTTCATGCTACTTATACTATAAAATAAATAATGTAAACAAACATTTACTTACAAAAATAAGACTGTGGAGAGTATCGTTGGTCAGAATCATCTGAAAAAATTAGTATTTTGCTACAATTCTAATACTGTGCCAAAGCGATTAAGTGATATTTACAATTTAATACTGCATCTATTTATATAATAAATTATTACCAATAAATACTAACTAATTTTTTATATTAAATTTAATCTGTTATCTCATTTTGTACTTTTATTACAAAAACACCATCCTCTTCTCATTATCACACAATATAAATAATTATGCAGATGTGCATGATACATTATTCTATATCAATTAATTCATAACATTTAATTAATTATTATTATAACAGTAAGTAGTGAATTAATAGCATTAATTAATTATACGTTAAATAAATTCAACTAAAGGTTTATTCAGTCTTATGTTTTGGTTTTTGAGATTGGCTTATGGATTCCAGTAGCAACTGACCATTGTATTCTAAGTAGACTGAGTTTATTTGCCCACCTATGCTTATTAAATTAAAGTTGACACTAAACTGAATGATACATGCCACACTATAAATCGTACACATTTTTAATCCATAGTGAATACTTACAACTAAAGAAATATCCCCAAGCAGGTAGCCCTACAGCAACAGCTCCGACAACAAAGCATATGAAGCCGAGTACAACTACCGCTATCGAATACAGTATCTTTCCACTGGCCATGGCTGCATGACTCAGCCAACCTCATGAAATGCTCTAGAAAACATCAGGATCGGTTCATCGTATTTCAGATTGAGTGACTTTGCATCTGTAAAAAAAAAACATAGTATTTATTAAATTTCAGTAGCCGATATACACTTCAATGTTCTGTTTTCGATATTTTAAAGCACTAGTCGGTTTGCATTAAGAGGGCACATATTTTTTTAATTACCACTCAATCATTTAAGGAATTCTTAAGTATAATTTCATTTCATGTCATATCATTTGTAGCCAAAATTGATGACTACTTAACTAGCATTAGATCATGCACTAGTATTCAACAAGCATTGAACAGCAGGTTGGTGTAAACATGATATTTATTAACTAATATTTAAAAAAAAGTAACTAATGTATAACAAATTAATTTTAGATTACTTAATACTTTTAGATTGTTTTGTTATTGCTGGCTTTGATTCATATTAATATTACTACTAATAATTATGGTATGAAATTTAAAAAAAATGTAAGTTTCATGTGAGCTCTTCTGGTATAAAATCAATGTGATATAATTAGACATACATGATAGCAAAAAAAATAACATTATGTTCTATGGCATTTTCTAGAATAGAATACGTAGTATGATTTAGATCTTTTGACATAATATTTAGGTACATACCTACGTTAACTACAAAGGAAGTCTAAATCAAAACAATTGATAAATCACGTACTTATGTGTTCAAATCGCTGTCAAACAAATTCTTATTGGAGTTTAAAATTTTGCAATAATAATTAACTTTAAAGTAATTTTACAGTTTTAAACATGGAAAAAAATAAACAGTTATTCTAACGCAGCTTTTACTCACGTTTGCTTGACGATCTCGCCGCAAAGTCACACGGTGATCACTGAACTGTGCAAAGGCTACGTATTAATTTCCACTGTTGTTTTTAAATAGCAAACTTACTAATTATTACCACTATATATTTTTGGTGAAATCTTTTATCACTTTTTAAGTAACACTGAACACGATCCTAAATATTGAATCGTGAGAAACACCTCTATCAGTCCCTAGTCACCATCGAGACAAACTTTCGAAATGAAATATTTTGTTAGTTTAGTTTATTTTTAATTATTATTAAAAGAAGCCTAGCTTAGTTTAGCATGTAAATTTGTGATTGGCAAATAAAATATACTAAGTTTAGAAATAAAATAAACGTTTTCCAAAAAATTTGAAATAAATTTATTCTCGTAATTGATTCTAAATCCACAAGCATCACTAATGCAAACGGTAGGCAAACTGGTTTTTTGATTTTGTGAACAAACTTGAATCCAAAGAGTTTTTTTCGCCTCGTCTGGTTTCGGTTAGGCATAGGAAACAAAACTATACAGCCAAAATAGTAGAAAAAAATCAACATGGTCAGAGAGTTAATTTAGAAATACTACGCTAAGCTGACAGCTTCATAAAAAAAATAGTAATTACAGTGACTCTTTAACAATATAATTGCTGAGAATGGCTTGTCATGTTCTTCTATTTAATCATTACATCTACTGAACTCTACTGATATGCTGATATGAATAGTTATACTGTTTTTCCGATTATAAAAATTGTGATTATAATAATGTGTGCATTTTTCGAGGGAAAAAGTTGCTTGTGTAATTCTCAGATCCATAGAGTACTTATTTGTCAATTTGTAGATCTAACAGAACGTAAATCAGTAAACTAATTTCCTTTATTAATCTATTTGATAATCCAGGTGAACATAGCCTGTACAGCGAAATCTTTTTCACAAAGGCTGTCTTTTGTGTGAAAAGTTTAATGAAACAAATGAAAAATATAGAAATAATTTGATTAAGGGATGAAATGTAATGAAATAACCTCTAAAATTCTGGGAATTCCAGTCAATTCGCAAAATTTTTCAGTGACCTATAGATCACGTTCCGTATCACTTCGTTCAGCGATTTTCTCTTTATTTCCCTCACTTGTGCACTTTCACAGAGCTAAATAGTTTATATGCCATCATTATTAAAACCGTAGAAACGAAAAATTAATAAAATAAAATAATTCACAAATCTTGACACTTTGCGTTCCGGCCATAAAGTAATTATGGGATGGTTTGTATGTAATACAATTATTTTTTATATTTTATTATACTAAAATAATGTAAAAACTTTTGCTTTTTAACCCCGAGGCAACCATCTGTGCCATAGAAAGAAATACTTTTTTTTTTGTTATGCTTAGATGGCTGGACGAGCTCACATCCCACCTGGTGTTAAGTGGTTACTGGAGCCCATAGACATCCACAACGTAAATGCGCCACCCACCTTGAGATACAAGTTCTAAGGTCTCAAGTATAGTTACAACGGCCGCCCCACCCTTCAAACCGAAACGCATTACTTACTGCTTCACGACAGAATTACGCAGGGTGGTGGTACCCACCCGCTCGGACTCACAAGAGGTCCTACCACCAGTAATTACGCAAATTATAATTTTGGGGGTTTCATTTTTATTACACGATGTTATTCCTTCACCGTGGAAGTCAATCGTGAACATTTGTTGAGTACGTCTTTATACAAGTCTACGCTAAATGAAATCTACATGTTCTTGCATCCGTACAAATTCCTTTTCGTTTAGCCTAGCTCTTAGTGTATTTAGTGATATTAATAAAGTTTCTCACTAACACTCCATTATGTTTTAAAATTGATAATGTTATTGAACATTTTAATTATGTCTATACGACAAGGAAACCGCTTTTAATGTTGTTACAAACAAATTTAATTGTTTTTTGGTTGCTGAAATATATTTAATTTATTCAGGATACACCGTGAAATACGACAGTATCTCGTAGTATATATCTACCAATTTTCGCATCGAGGTCATCTATTTTCGAATCCTCGGTAAAGACGTTCAGATTATACAGTCGGTCACTCCTAGAACTTGCGTTATTAAACATCTAAAATTATTGTATATCATTTACAAAAGCATAGTACCTATTTAACTACACAGTATAAAATAGATTTATTTGTTACCCATCAACGTTTTCATTCACTTTAATACAAAATGAGTTTCTTATCACAAATTGAAAGTAAAGAATCAATGTTTTTGATATTTTTATTTGCTGGAACACTATTAAGCCCAGTTACCTCTGGTAAGTTTACGTTGGCATATTTTTTTAGTTTTGCATCCAAAGAATTTGTGTATTGTGAGTGAAGTCACTATAATATCTATGCAATTAATACAAATGCAGCCACCTACCTTATTAAATTAGCATTATTTAATTCTAGGTACTGAATCATCTGTAAGCATAACGGAAACAACGGTACGTTTAAAGAAAAAGTTTTCGTCATGTTTAAAAATTAACTTTTCAACGACAGGACTTGTATAAATTAACACTATTCTATTGAATTCTAGCTTCCGTCAATTGTCAACAATGAAGGAGACGATGGTACGTTAGAGTGTCATAAAATCTGTGGGTGTGACAGGTGTGTATTCTCCGTTTTTATTGCTTAGATGCTAAAAAAAAACGAACTCACGCTCCACTTGGTGTTAATCGGTTACTGGAGCCCATAGACAGCAACAACATAAATGCCGCTACCCAACTCGAGTGAGTTCTGCTCGGCGAGTAAATTAACCCTCAGACACAGCCCACTGAGTTTCTCGCCGGATCTTCTTAGTGGGTCGCGTTTCCGATCCGGAGGTACATTGTGCTAAGCATGGCTCTTGCTAGGGTTCGTGTTAGCAACATCGTCAGGTTTGAGCCCCGTGAGCTCACCTACCAGCCCGGTGACGCTGACATGGTCTCTCTAGACCAGGGGCTCCCAAACTTATTTTGTCTACTGCCACTTTGAGAATAAATTATTTTTTTAGCGCTCTCATTTTGTACCTACTTAAAAACCACTATAGCGAGAGCTCAATGGGTGTCTAAGAGTCCTCCTAGATGAAATTACAAATCGCCTCCCAAGCCTCTACCCAACACCTCCATTTTTTTCCTGGGTCTCTTACCGCCCCTCTTTAGGCCTGTAGCGCCCACAAGGGGGCGTTATCGCCCACTTTGGGAAATGTTGCTCTTGACCATCAGCTTGGGTAGGCAAAAAAAAGTGAGTTCTAAAAGTCTTCGTTTTTATCGTATAACGGCTGCCCCATTCTTCAAACCGAAACGCATTACTGCTTCGTGACAGAAATAGAAATAGTGGAGACTCACGTCCCATCACCAGTAGCTTCTAGCTAGCTTCTAAGTAGGTATTTCTTAAATTTTCATGTAATATAATCTGCTAATTTAAAAAATGATTTAGATCTTTAGCCCCGATAATTTAATGTTTTCAGAGCGTATATCTATGATGAGACGAAAAAAGAATGTGTTTTGGATAACAGTTACATCCTGCAGACGACTCTGGCTCGAAGCAGTGAAGATAAGTCCGTCACCAATTACAATCAAGGTTAGACTAATACAAGTTCATGTAGCTGAAGAGAACAGTAACTGATTTTAGTTAGGAAGATAAAAACATGTGGGGGATATTCGTTTTGCTAAATTTAATGGTTATTCTTAGCCGACTTAACCTAATAGATGTATGGCTCTAATAAAGAATAATAATAAAAAAAAATTGTTTATTCTTCTCAGGTAGTGATGGGATTATATGGATTGGTACCACTTATTACAGTTTTGAATTTTAACATAGTCGTGACTTAAATAAAGTCACGATTTCGTTTCTTTTTTTTTTTATTTCGTACCTATGCTGATAGCCTTGAGAGGCTATTTCAGCTTCGCCCTAACGTTTGTAGGTGAGCTCGCGGGGCTCAACCGGAGAGTTGCTAACACTGACCGACCCTAGCAAGAGCAGAATCTACCACCGGATCGGAAACGCGACCCACTGAGAAGATCCGACGAGAAACTCAGTGGGCTGTGTCTATGGGTTAGTTCGCTCGTCGAGCCCTTTGTCGCAAGCGACGGGTTCGACGAGGACGGTGACCGGCACGATTTCGATCGCCCATCTGACGATAATGACGATAATATCTGACGATATAGTAAACATTAATAATTTAGAATTTAATAAATTTCATCAAGCATATTTTTTTCAATTTTTTTGTTTGTTTAACGCTGTGAAAAATACTTTAGTTTTATGACTTGTGGTATTATCTCCTCGTTACTAATAATATGCCGTGCCTCTAATTTTGAAATTTGTTGTAATGTCCTTTTTTCTGTTTTAGTATGTACATTACCCGAATAATAAGACAGTCTTTTTTATGTATAAAAATTGTTCCCAGATCACGATATGGCTAACGACGACGGAATGGCAAGTAAGTAACTTCAATTTTATTTATTTTTTAACTCTTTCTACATTATAGATTTCATTTTTTTAAACGTGTTGTCACCCCACTTGGGAATATGCTCCATAAGTCTATGGTCATTAGCGAAACGTGCAGCGGACATGTCATGTTGAAGTCGTCGTGGCCTAAAGGATAAGACGTCCGGTGCATTCGTATTGAAGCGATGCACCGGTGTTCGAATCCCGCAGGCGGGTACCAATTTTTCTGATGAAATACGTACTTAACAAATGTTCACGATTGATTTCCACGCTGAAGGAATAACATCGTGTAATAAAAATCAAACCAGCAAAATTATAATTTGCGTAATCACGGGTGGTAGGACCTCTTATGAGTCCGCACGGGTAGGTACCACCACCCCGCCTATTTCTGCCGTGAAGCAGTAATGCGTTTCGGCTTGAAAGGTGAGGCAGCCGTTGTAACTATACTGAGACCTTAGAACTTATATCTCAAGGTGGGTGGCGCATTTACGTTGTAGATGTCTATGGGCTCCAGTAACCACTTAGCACCAGGTGGGCTGTGAGCTCGTCCACTCATCTAAGCAATAAAAAAAAACCCTATTTATACGAAGTTTGAAAATGATCCTCAGTTGTAGAAAGCAGATTAGGTGTGTGTCTGCTAATAATGAATCCATTAGCGACAGTCCTGACATACAATAAAAAAATCTTCTGCTTTGAGTCGAAAATGATAGATATAAGCCGCTAGTCAGTTCCGATGCGCGACTGGAGTTTATTTTTATAAGCGTGTATATAATTTCATTACCTAATTTTTGATTTGATAAAATATTTTACATAACTAATACCATATAAATAATATACTTACATGCTGCATCTATTGTCAGGTATAATATAGGTACCTATATAATAATATAATACTAAAATTCGTATAATTTTGAAATATTCTGCTGATAGGTCAAATGCAATATGACATAGTTAAAATGACTGCAAAGTAATATTTTCAACATTCACTCATGTAGACATATAAATCATTGCTAAATATTGGTATACAAGTTCAATATGTGGATAAATTAAGATTAGATGGAGCATTACAATCGTTCCTTATGAAGTAAAGTCCAGGATACAATGTGAAATGATTATGAAAATGTTGTTATTATTTATTTCAGAGCAAATTTTTATTGAAGCCGAAAAGTTCTTTCGTAGTATTATCATATCAGCTCTACTCTTTGCTGGCTGCGCCAGCATCTGTGTTCTCAGCGCTAGTTTCTACTGCTGCCATATAAATTACAGGTAGGTACATATTATTAATAATAAAATATTGGAGCTTTGAATTTTCGTATATTATAATTACCTGCCATGTAACGGTAATTTTACGTAGGTACCTATTTTTTTAGCTTGAAATTTTCAATTATTGCCCATACTGCCAGTGTTCATTGCTCAATTGTTTCATTCCTAACAGAGTGAAGTGAGTGATTGAAACGTATTACTGCTTCACGGCAGAAATAAGCACGGTGGTGGTACCTTCCTGTGCGAGCTCACAAGAGGTCGCACCACCAGTAAGATTAACTATTAAAAGGATTTAATTTAATTGTAGTCAAAATTATAAAACAACATTTAACGCGGCGAAGGACCAAAGACAAGAAATAAAATAATTGAATTCATACGCATTATCTGACTGTTGACGGCTCCACGTTCAATTTTTTATCCCAGTGTGCACTACACCTGCATTCGCAGAAGCTCCGCGTTGATCTATTGCCGATGCGGATGAAGATGCCAAAAGAAATACGAAACATCCGCTGTTGTGACTACGAATATTTACAATATATTTGGTCTGGTCGCATTATCCCCTTAAAAAATACAATCAGACAAATTATAATAATATTTTCTTCTGTGACTTGCAGTGATCGAAAAATGGAGAGGGAGTTGAAGGCTCTAGCGAAAAAGTTGAACACGAAATATCATTCTAAAAAGTCGATTCGAAGGTCGCCACTTGAGCCTATTGAAGAAAGCTGTAACGTTGTAGTAGAAGACGCCGGTGTATTTGTTGTCTGAATTGGAATTCATTAACAGTTTTTTTTTTAAACCACAGAAAAGGTAAAGAACGAATTCTAATATTTATTAAGCTATTCGTTTAAAATCAGATCTTGTTAATCGATTATTTAGCGGTCTCGCACTTTTAATGAATAAATATTTCGATGTAATTAAATGCTAGTTGTAGCAAACCGACCGGTACGTCACTCTCGCGGCCGTATGCCCGCTCGCTATACATAGTTAGCATCTATGTCAATCTTTTCAACAGTGTATAATCTATGTTCCGGGCGCTTCCGTTTTGAGTGTGAATAGCGTGCGCCCGCGTCTAAATGTAATTATTGTTTAAAATTGAAAATTGTTTGTGATAAAGGAAGATTANTAGCATCTATGTCAATCTTTTCAACAGTGTATAATCTATGTTCCGGGCGCTTCCGTTTTGAGTGTGAATAGCGTGCGCCCGCGTCTAAATGTAATTATTGTTTAAAATTGAAAATTGTTTGTGATAAAGGAAGATTAAAATTCGAAATTCGATATTGGTGACTAACCCATAGTTTTAAATACCCCTGAGATCTACCCCTCACTATATAGTAAATTAACACAACGATTTATCGATATAACGCTTAGACATGAATCGTATATCTTGTTTGGCGCCTATTAACTTTTAATAAGCAAAAATAAATAATAGTTTACAAATACTAACAAAATCCGCTTTTATAGAAAATCAAACCAAAAAATAGAAAATAAATTTTAATAAATTTGAATTAAAAATAGTGTAAGAAAAATGATTTTATTGTAAAAAAAAACGCGGGGTGAATGGTATAAGTAGTTATAAATATTTTATGAAAATATATGAGGAGAAGGGTTATTTTGATAATATCCTGAAAAGCACCCCACGCTTTTTTACAATAAAATCATTTTTTTAGACACTATTTTTTAATTTTAAAGTTTTTTTTTCAATTTTTTAGTTTGATTTTCTATAAAAGCGTATTTTGTTAATTTTTTTAAAGTATTATTTATTTTTCATTTTTTAGTTGAATTTAAATTTTTTCAATATTTTTTTTAATATTGAATTGTCATCGGTCCTTAATAAGTATACCAAATTTCGAGTTAATCCGACGTTTTGAAGGGGGTCAAAATCATGTTCAAAGATTCCGTTACAAACATACATACGTCTGAAGCTAATAAAAGCGTAATATTAAAAAGGGATGTTTGTTACCTTTTATTGTACATGTGTAAAAGGGTTGGCATATTTGACGTTTGCATTTATATTTATATTTTGTAAAAGTAGGCATTGTGAGATGAGAAAATGCTTTACCTAATTATTTATTATTCTGTTTATGTTTAATAAATATTGTTGAGAAAATTTTGTTTTCATTTACTACCATTACCAGTGTTCGTATTTGATATTTTTATTCCTGATGTTTATTATATAATAATATCATATAAAATCAAAATGTGATTAGTTTTTTGAAGTACTTTCAAGTTCAAGGAGATTACTGTGTGGTATGTTGTAGTAAATATTTAGTAGTGTATAAAATATTGTATAAAAATAAGATTAAGGCAACAAGGAGATTAATGACATCTCTTGTTCCCAAGTGGAAAAAATAATTCATATAAATACAATCGTAAGCGTAAATACAATATTTTCGATAAATTATTTATCTTTACTACCTTTACTTAAATTAGGCATTGAATGTTTTTTTTATTGCTTATATGGGTGGACGAGATCACAGCCCACCTGGTGTTAAGTGGTTACTGGAGCCCATAGACATCTACAACGTAAATGCGCCACCCACCTAGAGATATAAGTTGTAAGGTCTCAGTATAGTTACAACGGCTACCCTGTCCTTCAAATCGAAACGCATTACTGCTCCACCGCTGAAATAGGCAGGGTGGTGGTACCCACGGTTACCCACCTGTGCGGACTCACAAGTCGTCCTACCATCAATAATAATCATAATTAAATAAGTGAAATCAATAAGTGTTATCAAAGTGTTAAATATAAGTGGAATAGAATAAGCCCGAGTGGGTGGGCACCAGCAACCTGCGTATTTCTGCCCTAAACTTGTCATGCGTTTTGGTTTGATAGGTGACACTAAAGAATGTAATTTGAGCCAACTCTGACCTCATGTCATGAAGCTTATTAAAATCAATTTCGATGATGTCGGCTTGAATATTTACATTATTTTATTTCGTATTATTTACCTGTTTGATAATATAAATCAATAACTCTTATAATAGTTACACAAGTTTTTTTTTATTTGGCTGTATGAACTGTATTTGCTTTGCCTGCGTAATAGAAGATCAAAGATCAAATAAAAACGCAGTAAATATTTACATTTTACATTATTTACAATTTGTAATAGTGTAAATTACAAAATTTTACAAAAATTGTAAATTACAAATACATGTTCAAAGTGTTGAAACATCCAACGCAAATATTCTGATAAATGATCACTTTCTTAGGTGATAGAAAATATATTTAAACTCATTACTGAAATAAAAACACAAATAAGCCCGTTTTACATTTTTGTAAAATAAATAACAATATCACATAAACAATAACATAAACAAGTGTAGGTATGTTGATGATCAGGTCTTCATTTCAAATTAGAAATCACGGGAATACCTACAATTACTCACAGGGGGAATTTACTAAGCAACTTTTTGAAATGTTCAATAATAATCGAAAAGTTCGATGCTGACTATAAGTGCGACTATATCAACAACAATTTATTATACGAAAAATTAATTTTAGTTTCAGAAGTTAACGAAATGCTTGAAACATCTTTAATGGATTTGGTTTTGACGACAATTGGGGTTTTACTTTTAATGGCACTTATTAGCTGCCTTTGCTGCTTATGTATGAAATTCAGGTAAGTAAAAAATAGAAAGTAAAATATTGAAAGTCTAAGATAAGCCTTGAATTTAGATACATATTTCATCCTTCTTCTGTATTATTTTCCTAATATAATTGTATGTTCTGTATAATCTACCTTTCTTTCTTTTTAATAAATATAAAATAAAGAAATAGTATGGATGATGATACTAAAATTGCTGCAAGTAAATGAAATAACGAATTAACAAACATAGACAGAGAAAGCTTATAAGTAATGTACATTTCATTCTACATTCAAATTACCCTTTATATAAATTACATCAAAGAACAGATGTACCTAAATTGTAGGTTGCTTAGGACATAATGCTTTGATAGAAGCCTTATAGAATCTTGCTTTAGCAAGATTTAACTAGTTACCATTTTAATAAATAAAGTAATAAAATTATTAGGTTAACGAGCCATGCTTATATGCTAAGCTGTGTATTCTATTTATTATAATCTAAAAGCTAAAGACCAGATCTTCTGATTTGAAATGCATGACAGCCAATATACAGCGAAGTTGAGATATGGACCTAATTTTTTTTATAATTTTTTATTTCTCTTGTACAAAATGACCAGTGGTCATCATCACTGTCACTCCTGGACATCGGCAATAGCGCAGAGTCAAGCTGCTGCCTTCAAATGTTTGTCCTCTGTTTTACTGCAGATGGTGACATTCTGATTTATATGGGCTCCGTCCAGCAACTATTTCACTTCAGGTGGGCCATGAAAATGCTCACTTATCTACAAAGAAAAAAAATCTTGTATTGTAAACTCATATAATATTTTCATTCTCCAGTGACCTTAAACTAAAGCTGTACATAATAAAGACGGCAAAAAAGAAAGGATTGGCAGTCGATATTGATAAACTGGAAATGAAGCCCTCACAAGGATGCGAGTCACCTCTTACCCATGAAAACTGTACAATTATGGTACCGGAAGTTGGTATAATACTCTAGATACATTTTTAATGTTTAGTGATGTAGGTTTAGGTTGATTGATTTTTTATAATGTAATGGTTTTGGCAACCTTGCCTAATATAAACCAATCTAATCATCCACTTTACATGCTCAGTATGAAGCATAAACGTTATTTGTGGGCTGAATTGATAAAATAATTAAATGGTGTAAAATCTGAGATTTTTTTGTAATCTAAAAAAATTTACAATCCATGGTTTTAGATTTTTTTTGAAACAACCATTTGGTTATAATAATCTGTAATCATGTATTTGCTTTCAAACATGGGATGCCCTTTATATAACTTTGAGTTCAGGGCCCTGATAAATGCTTCACGTTGGGTGACCGTAAACTCGAATAATTTATTACAATAAAAAGCTGGCTATTTGTTATTTAACCATACATATTGTTGATCTTGTCAGATTGTAGAATTCAAATTAAGTAGGAATATCCATATAAATTAAAAAGTTATAATTTAATATCTGTGATAAATATAAAAATTTGTGTTCCTGTCAAGCATCATTTGAAAATTGTGTAATGAGCAATATTTAAAAGATTTTTTATGTAATATATAATATAGATATAGTTTACCTAATTATATTTTACTTTTTATGTAACTGGTAGGTAGGTATGATACCATACATATAATGTTACTTATAAACATTAATAAAATTTGAACACGTTTATTATATTTACGCTTTGGTACTTAAATTAGCATTTAACAGTGAATTGATTGATAGTTGTAATATTTAAACTATGCATGTAATATTTGTAATATTAGAAGCACTGCAAATACTATTTTACCACAAATTTTTAGAATAATTATAATTATAAATGTAGCCTACAAGGGGAACAGCTAAGAATATTTATATAATATTAAGCTACAGAACAGATAAGAATATTTATATTTATATAATATTATTAACTTCTGCCCGTGGCTTTGGCTGCATAAATTTACCCAATATGAAACTTTATCCAAATCCATTCCATGGATTATGCTTGATTTCACATTTATAATATTAGTACAATTAGACTTGAACTAGTTGCCTTACACAGTGGTCTTAGCTTCTAAAAAAAAACAGAGATTTTTTATTAGATTTAAATTGTAGAGTAAAAGAGATGAAGCTTAATGATACAAGGGAAATGCGTTGTCACATTACATATTTGCAGGTCATTGATATTTCTTATTGTTAAGTAGATCGAATGATCTTGATTATTTGAGAGAGTTTGAATCCAGAGGTTTTGAGTTGATATCGACGCTTGAAAGACAAACGTGACTAAGCGACAATGCGTGAACTTTACAGTAGACTAATTTAAATTTGAAATACCTGAAAACAAAATA